ACCTTCATTCTCACATCAAAATTAGGGCTACAATCTTGTATTTATAGCCTCTTAATATAATAATATGGATTGGAGGGAGGTCGGTCCGAAAAGAATATGAATATAGGTATTTTTGATGTCTCTCGAGACGTGGCCCCATGGCACCCAGAATTGGCGCTGCAGCGCCACCTTCTCTGCCTGTTGGGTACCTGGCGCCCAGGAGCTGGCGCCGTGGCACCTAGCTCTTTGTCCCATTTTCTATTCTGCACATCTTTCAGTATTTTTATCATGACTTTTTTGTTTGATGAAAGCTAACTCATCGGGTTACAACTTTGATTCAAACATCATTCTCCAATTCGATCATTTTATATTTCAAAAATAGGTCTCAATATGAGACTAAAATTCCGGATCATAACTTTTAGGTTGAAAATTGATTTGTGATCATCTTTTGACTAAATTTGATCTCTTTGATGTCTTTCTTTGTCCAATTGACTCCGAGCACTCTCAAATATTTATCGTGAGATTTGGCACAACTTTTAAGTATTTGCACTTTATTCTCCGAACTTTAGATCTCTTACAATTTAACAATTTTCTCCAAATTTGTTAACTTTTGCTTATTTTCTTCAATCTCACCAACCTACATCACAACATCAAAACACACATAAAAACACTCTAAAACTTTCTTAATGGTAACCAAATAATGAATTAAGTGGCATAAATATCATGAGTGTGGAGCTCTCATCTTGTGTATTCCAAAGAAGTTGAAGATCAAATCATCCAGAATCTACCAATCGAGATTTTTTTCTAAAAGATAAAATTCTCTGCATAGTGATGTATTAAAAATTTGTGCTCCAATAACAAATTGGAAGGAAATGACGTGATAATTTCTAGTAATAGGGGTGGAAGCTAGATTTCATGTCCGGACAGTCATTATGAATTATTATTAACTAGATAAACGGACAACTTCGATTAATTATTCCTCATTAGATTGTTCCGTCTTTTCGAGTATCTGGGATTTGAATCCTTTTGACTCGATAGGATATTTAGTTCATGGGGTATTGCCTGAATTGGCCACTGAATATTTTTTTGGAACAAGAGGAGCCTGAAACACATGACTTTCGTGAGAGGATTTGCTTTTTCCCTTCTCCAACTTATTGTGATATATTTAGACGCATATGTATAAGTAATGCATAGTGGTATATCAAGCCTTTGAAACTGTTTTCTCCGATATTTTTAGTTTCTTGAAGAATCCATCTCTTTTTGAATATTAGGGATTTGATCCATTTTTGCTCGATAGGATATTTAGGTCATAGGGTATTGCCTGCATTGGCCACTGTATAACACATGGCTTTCGTTAGAGGATTAGCTTCTTTCCCACTCCAATTTATTGTGATAAATTTAGACGCATATGTATAAGTAATGCATAGTGGTCCATCAAGCCTTTGAAAATGTTTTCTTCTATATTTTTAGTTTCTTGAAGAATCCATCTCTTTGTGGCCCAATTTCCGTGGAAAAGTTCTTTCGTCTTTGGCCAAAAGGCTATTAAATGTATTGAGTAATAATTATTGTGGAAGAAGACAAATAGGATAACCTTTAGAGAGCAATATATAATTGGGTGTCGAAGAAGGTGTATCTTACATTTTATTTATGGATCAAGGAGTGTGATCATAGTGGCTATGTAATATATGTAATTTTATTCTTTTAAAAAAACTTTTAGAATTAGTGATAATAAACTCCCAAACATGAACTAAATTGTTCTAAAAATCACGACTGAATAACTCAAAATCGATATTTTAAAAAACGTTAGTTCTCAATGGATATCCCAAAACTCCCAAGCATGCCATTAGCATACAAGAGAAATTCATGGCATATTAAAATACAAAGTTGCTAATATATAAAACACAAATGAACCTATTTTTTGAAAAACAAATGCAGATTTTCCATTTAAATTAATTTTTGTATCTTCACTCCCACAATCTCAACCTTAACGCGTGCATTGTCCCTCGCTTGCTTCTCTCTATTCCTCTATGTAGACTTGCTGTAGCTCAGTTTTCCATCTTGACAACTCCTTTGTCGTCACTCTCTCTCATCTACACAGAACTGAACAAGCCATTAGTGCACCCCATTTACAGTTAATTTCCTGGTGGAAGTCATCCAAAGACTTGTGTAATTGACTCATAAATTTGTAATATATCGATTAACAATGGCGGAGCTGGCGGCAGCGACTGAAGTTTACCCTCCACCGCGGACGATACAGGTCTGGAGAACGCTATTGAACTGGCTTGCTTTCTTCTTCCAGATCTTCTGTCAGATCCTCAGAGGCACCCCACAGGTCCTCTCTTATGTTGGCCTACGCCATAGTTCCTTCCTCTCTTCGAATCCTCAAGCGCCTCCGCAGTTCAAGCCTTTGCCTGTAGTTGAGTTGTCTGAGTTTGAAGAAGAATCCCAAGTGACTCCGTCTACACCTCCCGCCGCTGTCCCAATTGCCGGGGTTGGAGCTTCAGTAACAGATGCTCCGCCTTTTGAGAAGCTAAAGGTAAAAAATAATTTGAACATGAATTTGAAATTTTAATTTATTTGAATTTGATCGGATATATCTAAACGAAAATAAATGGAAACTTGAGCTAGTATTATAACTGTGTGCGTGATGGTCATATCGAAAGCTTAAGTTCATGGTTGATTTCTTGACTTGCTATGCTAATATTTAGCCGTGTGATTAACTGTTTTGGAATTCAATTTCCTGTGATACAAAATATGTGTTTTTGGTAATATGGAGTTTTATTGGGAGTAATCTATTATATATGGAGTCTTGTCTGCTTTGGGAGCTGTTTATCTGCTGTGTTGCACTGATTGGTGTGAAAATAGGGGGGATGATAGGGAAGAGAAACGAGCTGTTTACCTTTGCTTTCATTGTCTTTATTGACAATCAACTTTAGTCTTTAGGAAATTTTGTCTTCATCTTTTTCTCTTCACAACTTTTATGTACTCTTCAAAAATTTCAATTTGATACTAGAATGATCAGTTCCATCCATGGTTACTGTAGAACATTAAAGGGAAAATGTTGAATTTTTGAGTCAATTATTTAAGAAAGAGGGGCAATCAGATGATGTTACTCTGCTGATGGGAAAAAAAATGTAGGGCATGGTTCAAATGGAGAGGGTATAATTATTACAAGTTGTCAGATTGGTTGTCCATGGTTGCCAGTGTAGATAGTTTAGTATTAAGAAACCACGGCCACAGTTGTTATTGGTACAGTATTACATTGGAGTGTGTTTTTAATTCTATATATTCCTCATGAAATCTAATCTGAGTAAAATTCTGATTCCATGAAACCAGCAAGAACAATTGTATTTTTCATTGCTAAGTCTCTGTTTGGCAAAATTATAAATCATTTATAAATAGGTCAAACTTCATTTTCAACCCCACGTTCCAATGGATCCACAAGTGTTATCCAATTATCCATCACTTATTTCTATCTATTTATAATTAAATCGTTTATAAATTCTTCCCAAACGGACGCTAAAATATGTCCTTTGAGCCCCATTTTTTTTTTTTTGGAAATAATGCATTTTGGAATAGTATTTTGATGGAGAGTGTGTGGTTAAAAAATAAGGAAAGGTTTTGAATTTGCGTGCAATATTATTTTATTGAAAAATGTGTGGTTGAAAAGAAGAGACAGGAAAATGTATTTTGAAATTAATAAGGATCAAACAAGGGCTAAAGTTATAACATATGTCTGAACTCTGAACAAGGACATAAATCATTCACTGATTCCCTATTTCCATGTTTTATGAACTAACAAATACCAAAGTAGTGTTTGGTGCGTGCATGCATCAAAGAAACCTCATAGTCCTTTCGAGAAGCTAAGTTAGTTACTAGCATGATTTTGTTTGTGAATTGAATTGATATGAATTTGATTGGATTCAAAAATTGAAAATAACTGGTTAAGTTAGTTACTAGCATGATTTTGTTTGTGAATGCACACACACGTGAAACTGAATATGGAAACGTTATTATATGGTTGAATTAGAGTTGTCAAAATGATTGAATTAAATTTCTGTGTCATTCATTTTATTTTACTATTTTAAGATTCTTGAAAAAAAAAACGATGGTGAACGTTATCAAGAGAAACCTGTTTTTGAGAATTTAGTGTCATTTAATAGTCACTGTTCTATCAGTTTTGTCTGATTTTGGAATTGTTTGTTCATTGGAGCTAGAAATTGGAGTGGAAATGGGTGGATGCAATTTTAGTGGAAGAGAAGTAAACAGTGTTGAATTAAATTGAATTGGAGAATCGGATCCACGTAATTGGCCCCACATAAGAATGTAATAATGCTTCTTTGAGCTCTGTTGATTTATTCTTTCTTTTCTTTTGTCTGCCATGGGGGTTGCTGATCTTCTCTCTCCTAAGTTTGATGTATTATTAACTATTTATATATGTTGATAGCATTAGTAGTTTTTTTAACATGTCCACTGTAGAAATATTAAAGGGATCGGAACGTTGAGATCTCTTTCAATTATTTAAGAAAGTGGGACAAGGAGACTATGTTGCTTCTTTCTTTACTATTCACATGGCAAAAGCACAGTTTTTGGATGGAAATATCTTTGTTTCCAATCGAACTAATTTAAACATGTAAGAACATTGTGAACTTACTCTTTGGTATTGGAATGGTTCAGATTGGAAAATGTATTTCATAATAAATGTTTTGAATAATTTTGTGGTTTTCCAGTGTGGGGATAGCTTCCGGTTAAAGATGATTTCAGTCTTCCAAAGTTGGCAATGTTACTTGTTCGAATTTCTTGTTTATTTAATTATCTATTGCAACCATTCTGGTGGAGAAAAAAGTACCATGATAACCCCTCTACATTGTAGTTTAACCAAGGGCCTGTGGATTTATAAAAGCTTCAAGTTAACTGTGGTGTTACCCATTTGGATGTAATATACGGGGGAAGCTTATGTCATATGTGTAGGATCAATAGGATCGTAAATGTGGCTTCAATGCATGATGTTGTAACAATTTGCATGACAGACAAAATTCTGCTCATGCATAGCGTGTGGTGTATTATAGGTCATGGTGATGTCTTTAGTCATGCAATACCACACCCATGCTGCTTTTTCTTTCCTATTGTCTATTTTTTGTGCTGTTCTTAATTGGGTCTCCTCCACTTCTCTCTATACCTTAATTAGAGGGCAGGGACAAAATTTAGACTTATTCAGAATGCTTGCAGTATTAGAATACTACGTGTAAAATTGAAGCAGAAAATAGAAAGGATTGGGTAGTGGTTACTAAATCTGGAGTGACTCGTAACTGGGTCAATTTCTACGAGTTGAATAGGTGAACAATGAGTTTGTACTAAATAAGTGTTCATTTTGTCATTAATAGGCAGTCAAAATTTCCTTGCTGTTACAAAATGCTTACTTTCAAATCAAATGGCTTTGTGGTCTCACCTATGTACTGGAAGCAGGTGGTTCTTGACTTGGACGAAACTCTGGTATGTGCATATGAGACATTGAGTTTGCCTGCTATAATACGTTCTCAAGCAACAGAAGCTGGTTTGAAATGGTTTGAACTGGAATGCATCTCTTCTGACAAGGTGAATTATGGTTTGTGTCAGATATCAACGATTAAGCAAAATGTCTAAAATCAATATAATATTTGATCTTCCTTTAACATAATTGTTTTCTTTGGTGGGATTCCAAGGATGTTGAAGGCAAACCTAAGATCAACTATGTGACAGTGTTTGAACGTCCTGGACTGAAAGAATTTCTAAAACATCTTAGTGAATTTGCAGATCTTGTCTTATTTACTGCTGGACTTGAAGGTTTTTCATTACTCAATGTTGCTTCTTTTCATCTGTTCTCTTTTCAAGATTTTATTTACTGTTGCCCTGGATTCCCTTTGTTTTATTCTTGCAGGATATGCTAGACCTCTCGTTGACAGAATAGATATTGAAAATCTATTCACCCATAGACTTTATCGGCCTTCGACAATTAGTACGTAAGTATAGCTGCTCCAAAACTTTGCTCCACCACTATGAATATCAGAAGTCTTTGATTACAATATATATTTAAAAAAAAAAAAAGCTTCCATTGCAAATATTTGAATGTTCAATGTGTGAACCTTGTCCTGTATCTTTATGCTTTTCATAGTCATCTCAAACAGACACACCTGTGTTCGGAAAGAAGTGTGTGAATAGGAAAGAATGTATATAAAAGAAAGAAATAAGATAGTATAGTTAAAGATTCTTTAAAGCTTCTACCAAGTTTGACATTGACCTCATGTGACTTCCTGTTCATGCTATATTCTTGTCATATACACGATCAATGTGTACGCATATGAATTTATGGTTTTCGGAGAGAGCTGAGTACTTTTGAAGATAATATCAGATTCTTTTTTGGGGTTTAAATGATGTCAGACTTTTTGGTGAGCAAGTTCTTGTGTAGTATTTTGCAGCTGCTGAAATTTTTATTTCTATAGTTGCCACTCTAGCAAATTATACACAATTCAAAATTTTGGTTAGCGTAGCCATCTGAAATCCAAATGATTATATTATCTATATAATTAAAATAGACTTAAGGCTTATATACCCGCCCTTTACTTTTTCATTTTTGTTGAAATCCCTCCCTGTTAGATCCTGGAAGCAAGATGACCATTTAAACAAAATTGTACATTTTTTAGCCTATAAATTCCTGGACAGCAACAGCTCAGATATTAATGTCTGGTAAGACATAATTTTTTCTTTTCCAAAAGCAATGTCTTCGACAAGCCCCACACATCAATAAATGCAATATATTTTGCTAGTGGCCGCTATCTATCATTCCTACTGCTACTTTCAATCTCCTTTCCACCGAACACTTCACACATAACTTCCACACCAAATTTACTCCATCTCAATAACAGCAACAACCATACTAGCTTAAAAAAAAAATCACATTCGTAAACTCTTCCCCCATCACCAAAATTTCAAATCCTCACTTCTGCTGTCCACCTAACATCAGAGTCACCAAGAATTGACCACCATTGGATTACTAAAGAAGCAATACAACAATGTATTTTTAACTCAATTTAATTAACGGGATATTAAATTGTTGAGGAAGTCCTGTTAAAATTATTAATTAATAGGGGATGTGATGACTGGTTTTGGTGGTGAATAGGGTGGCTGTGGTTTGTGGTTTCTAAATTTTACTTGACTGTAATTTGGAATTTTATCTGTTTTTTTCTTTTCAATGGTGGATGTTAGCCAAAAAGGATTCCAGATCAAAGGTTATTGAGAATAAATATTAGAATCCCACATTGGTTGGTGATATTAACACAATCCACTCAATAAGGTGAGGGCAATCCTCCCCTAACAAGTCAGTTTTGTTAGGTTGAGTTAGGCCTAATATCCTTTCTAATATGATATCAGAAAAGACCCAATTTTGCAATGTTGGGTGCACCCAATATCGATTTGTTCAAAGTTATTTGGCATGGTTTACGCTGTGCGTGAGGGGGCGTATTAGAATCCCACATTGGCTGGTGATATTAACACGATCCACTTAATAAGGTAATGACAATCCTCTCCTAACAAGCCGGTTTTGTTAGGTTGAGTTAGGCCCAATATCCTTTCTAATAATAAACCTTAGATTTAACATATAAAATGATATTTTAAATAAATAAATTTAAAAATGAACATTTTTCTCGAGACCACTAATTTTGAATTAATTAAAATATTTTTCCATTTGTAAGAGGAGTCCCAATATAATTTACCTAGTTGGACTTTTATAAAGCAAAATATTTGTAAAAGAGTAAAGTTCTACAAAACACTGATGCACTAGTATGTGGATATAGGGTTGGCTATGGGCTGAGAATAGTCGGTTTGGACCGGAGGCACCCAAGCTTGGCTTGGATCATGTCCAAATCGTAGGATCGGTTTGGCCATTTGGCTCGTGGGCTTCATGGGCTGAGGTTGCTCACGAGTTGGCCCATTTTTTTGGTTTTTAAAATGAATCGAAAAAAAAAAGCCGAAAAGAGCACTTTTTATTACAAATTATTAAAACAAGTCCAAAAATAGAAAAAAAAAAAAAGTTGTCCCATGAGCCCAAACGAGTCAGTTCATGGGATGGTACCAACGAGCCCAAACAAGCCAGCTCATGAAAAAAATGTGATCTCGATTCGGCCTATGAATCGTTTTAAAACAAGCTTTTGCTTTTAAATGGATCGAATGAGCTGGCTCGATCATTAACCATTCAAACTTGGCTTGTGTCCAGAATAAGGACTCCATTCGGCTCATAGGCTCGTAGGCTTCACGAGCTGAGGCTCGTCCATGAGTCTGCTTGTTTATTTATTTTTTTATTTTGAAAAATAACAAAATAAGCTCCAAAACAAACAATTTTATTTAAAAAAAAAAAGTGGGCAAAAAAGAGAAAAAATAAATGAGCATGTTCGTGGGTCTCACAAGCCAAGCCAAGCCCCTCTAGGCTCATATAAACAAAAGTGAGCTCGTCTCGATCCATGACTCATCTTAAAATGAGCTTGAGCCGCTCATGGTTTGAGCCGAGATGAGCCCATTTGGTGAGCGACTTGGCCCGTTTGCCACCATACTTCGTGACGGCTATCTGAGTTTTTTGGTAGACATTGCAATGGAAAATGGCACGTTTTTTCTACCTCCATTGAAATTTTCAGAGCATGCAATTCATGCACTACTCGAACAGAAGGACGCGTTTATTAGAATGGTTAAAACACATGAAAGCCACAATTAGAAAGCAAATGAAAAAATTCGGACCTTAAGTTTTTGATATCTGATCTGCAGTGAATATGCCAAATTCTGAGGTTCCTACACTATCTTTGAGCCGTCAACTAAGTGTTGATTACTATTTTTCTTTGTGGTTTCTTTGTACATGGGTTTAGTTTTGCTATTCCTGTCATGAGAATTTAAGTAGAATTATAATTTTTGCACGTTTTATTCATTTCTGCACTAATTGCATAGTTTATGATTTGTGTTTTCTTTTCTTTTGCTTCCATCGAAATTTAGTGATGGCTGATTAATAAAAAATAATAAACTCTAAAATAGTGTTTTGTGATGCATATTAGATATCATGCTGCCCTTTTGGTACTGTGTACTCATTTTTTTGTTCATCTATTTATACATTGCAGTGAATATCGTGAGCATGTGAAAGACCTTTCATGCATATCAAAGGATCTATGCCGAGTTGTTATTGTTGACAACAACCCATTCAGCTTCTTGTTGCAACCATTGAATGGAATTCCATGCATTCCATTTTCTGCTGGACAACAACGCGATGAACAGGTACCTGGAATAACTTTTGAGAAAATTATAAGTGCTTCCTCATTCTATCTGTCATAACTCAATTGTTACTCTTATGTGCCCCACTCAGCTTTTGGAAGTCATCCTTCCACTTCTCAAGCATCTTTCTCAGCAAAAGGATGTAAGACCCATTCTGTATGAAAGATTCCATATGCCGGAGTGGTTTCAAAAGCATGGTATCCCTGCTTCGAGATGGACAACCGTAGGATAAAATTGTTGACAAGTGTGTGTTTTTCCACAAAGATAATTATTCTTTTCCTAAGGCAGTCTCCCTAAGCCATAGCCACAAATTTTTGTATAGCATTATTCTGCTCAAGGAGTAGGCACAGCTCAAATTCCAAGTACTTCAGTCCTAAAAGCTTCTCCACTGCACTTCTAGAAACGGAATGATTGCGACAAGTATGATTCTTATGCTGTATTTATAAATTATAGTATTTTCCATTTTTTGTGTACAGAATGCAAAACTGTATTTGTTTATGTACATATATGATGAAATTGCTTATGTA